GGGCAGTGCTGGGGAGCAGTTGGACTCTCTGACCTTTATTAGGCTGTGATTCTATGAAAATAATAAACAGAGGGGGGAGAGATTTCCCTTGCACAAATGCAGCAGGAGTCAGGTTCCCGTGGAGCCCGAGCTGTGCTGCAGTTGTGTCAGAGGGAAGGATCCTGGAGCAGAGCTTGGCCCCTTTCCCACCGTGTGTGCCACTGCACTGAGCCCTTCTGTCACAGCTCCTGGCGTGTGGAACTGGCAATTGCAGATTTCCTCCCCTCCAGATGTGCCCACCTGCCCACAGGGTGCCCAGCACTGCTGTGCCAGCTGTGGCACCTCCTGGCTCACACCTGGTTCCTGCTCTTTCCCTCCAGGCTGCAGAGATGGATGGATTTCAGGCAGACACTGAGGAAGATGAGGAAGATGATGACTGCATGATTGTGGATGTACAGCCAGGAAAAGGTGGGAAGGGAGATGGGTACAAAGGGAGCAGGACCCCCTAAACTTGGTTTTTTCTGCCCTTTTCACCATTCCTTGTGCTTTTCTCTCTATAGATATCTTATTCCAGATAAGATATCTGCTGCTTTTTATCCTTTTTAAAAGATGTTTCTTTGCTATTTATGGCCTTCTCTAAGCAGCTCCTGCCTTTTCTGCCCTCCTCCTCCCCTTTTTGTCTCACACAAAGCCCCTGTGAGCAGCCAGGGTCCCCTGCCTGTTCCTGGGGGCACAGGTGGGCACTGCCAGCACACCCACTGGCAAACGGTGGCAAACATTGCTGCCCTCTGGGGCACCAGAGCCCTTCCAGCCTGGCAGGGGCTGGGTTATCACCCCTGTGCTGCAGCCACAACCTGAGCACTTGCTCGTGTTTGTGTCCCAGTTATCCCTTGGAAATGGCTTCAAAATCCCTTTGCTGCAGCCTCTCCTTCCAGGCCACGCTGGGATGAGGTTGTGCAGCAGCTCCTTTCATCTCCAGCAGCTTCTGGATGTGATCACACAGATCAATGAGCTGACTCCAAGCACGTGCTGTGCTTTCCAAAGCTCTGGGCTCTTTTCTTGCTGCTCACAATGGAGCTCTCCCAACCTGCTCTGAGGAAAGTGGTTTGTGTTGGGCAGCTCCTCCGGCAGATAAGGACTCGTGCACAGAAATTCTGGAGTGTTTGACCCATTCCAGGCATTATCTGGGCTCTCCTTGCTCTCTGAGCTCCTCTCACCTCCCAAAACAGACGTTGGGACTGCCTGACAAGGAGCCTGGCTTTAATCTTAAGCTGCTTTTGCTTATTACCAGGCTCTGAGATGAAAACCTCGCCTCAGGTTCGTCCCCTCTTGTTCTGAGGATGCCACTGAGCAGCTTCCCTCCCTCAGGCTCTGCTGACACACAAGCAGCTCCGTTTGTTTGGCTCTGCCTGACTCTAAAGCACTGAAAAGATTATGGAAATCCTTTTTATGGTTGAAGTGATTTTTTTTTTTTTATTCTGGATTGGTGATATTAAATACGAAGCCAGTATTAGAACCAGTTTTTAAATAGTGTTGAAAAGGAGACTCACAACAGATGCAGGAAGCTAAGACAGATAACACATAAAGTAGTCAAATTTTACTGGATTAATGAGGATATTTATAAAAACAAACCCAACACATTCTCTCCTTTGCAGGTTCCACAGCTTCAGAATCCAGTGGCACAAGAGCTGCTCACCAGGACAGCAGCATGGTCAGCCCATCTAATACAATTTGAGACTTTAATGCTACTAACTCCTCTGTATGTATGTAGAATGAGCTAGGAAGTTTTAAACCTTGTGTATCTTTGACCAAGATACTTGAAAGTATTCCACATTTCTTGTAAAGAGAAGACAGCACTTTGTTCTGCTTCAGACCAGATGGAAGCTTAAATTTTTAGCTTTAGCTTTTTAGCTTTTTTTTTTTTTAAATACTGCATATTAATCTGTCCTTAATAAAGCATTATTGAAATTTTGATACTTCTTTGTAATGGAAGGTATCTAAGTTATCTCTAAAAGTAGCTGAGGGATTTTGGAATAAGCTTATTGTGATGCCACTGGGGAATGACTGTTCATAATGTTGTACAGCGTGGCCTTGGGTATAAATGATGTACAATTATATATGAATTTATGCTCTTGTACCATCCTGTTTGTGGTCTTACTTGCTCCAGAGAACAGCAGCAGGGCTTTACCTTTGGAAGAGGGGAAAAATGCTTTGTTTCTCTTATTTTGGGACAGGCTGGACAGGTCAGGGCTAGATTCTCAGTCTCTTGTCTGCATCAGAGCTGGGCTCTGTCCCACAGGAAAACTCTGCTTGAGGTATTAAAGGACTGAGCTGGCATCAGACTCGGTGACACACAGGACAAACTTGCTGGGGCTTTCAGCTTTATACGACAGGTGAGTTATCAGTTATTTCTTTAGAAGATTGTCTGTAATTTCAGGTTTTTTCTGTTCCCTGTTCACTCTCTGAAGGGACAAAGGGGTGATGCTGCCCCAGTAACACCAGTGCCAGCCCCAGCACAGACTGGTTTGGCATCTCAAACCTACAACAGCAATGCAACTCAAGCAACTGGGATCAGGACTGAGTCTTTAAATAATTCCATTTAATCGGACTAAGTGTAACTTTATCCAAATGGCTTCTCTCCAGTAGGAGTTACAGTGCACACAGAAGCAGAACGGGAAGCTGAGCTCTACACCCAGCCCCCTCCCCAGGCTCAGGCTGCTCATCCAGCCTTACCAGCCCCTCATCCCTGCTCCACCACCGCCTCGGGAACACCTCGGGCAGCCCCTGCTCCAGCTGGGTGTTGGCAGCCCCAGGGAGGAGCCGCCGGTGGGGCCACCTGTGAGTCTGGAGCTGGGAGGGGACAGCAGGGCCCGGCCCCTGCGCAGAGCCAACCAAAGCCACCTCCAGCAGTCTCGGCAAAAGGAGGGACGAGTCCAAAGCCAGCAGC